CATGTAATTGGTAAAAATGTAGTACCATTTGTAAGAATGATGATTGTAATAATAACAATAATAATGATAAGGCGACAGATACATGCCAGGTAGCTGAGTGATAGCAGAGAAGTTAAATGATACAAAACCCAGGTTACACACATTCTGTTAGGCTGGTTACCTAGCTTGTTTATTGTGAAATACACTGTATTGTACTGCTGTAACTTTTTTCTGGACGATGTGGACTCCTTGCTTGTCACATAGTACCAGAGCATCTATGATGTCTCAAAGCATTTTCATTTGGAAGCTGAGGCAGAACAGGCTGGGAGATCTGGCTCTTCGGTGATTGAAAATAGGCTCAAATGGCAGCGAGCAATGGACTGATGTCTGCTTTGGGACTGGTAATGAGTGCTCAGTCCAGGGTGATATTTGGGATCACATCATTCAATACCTGGACAATGAGACAATGCTCACCCTCAGCAAATGTGTACCTGATACAAAATTATGGGGGCGGGGTCATGTGGATGATATGCAGAATGGCAGGACATCAGTCCATGGGGACTTTGGAAACTGGATCCTTGAAGTAGGTCAACAGAGACCACATATGAAACACTGCTTCTGGCATTGGACCTCTATGTCGAGAGGGATATGGGGAAACCAGAGAGGGGCCAGTAAGGAGGGATCAAGATAGTCAGGAACCTGAGGCATGGGACCAACAAGAAGAGGTTGAGGGAGCTGGACTAGGTTCACCTGGTGAAGAGGTGATTTGTAGATAGCAGCCTACAACTTTTTTATGGTTTGCTTTATGGTTGGACTCGATGATCTTAAAGGTCTTTTCCAACCTAAATGATTCTGTGATTCCAACATTACAGCAGCAAGCAAGACATTAAAGCAGTAATGTACTTCCTTAGTACTAACTTTTGTTTAGAGTTAACTGCAGTATGAGTTATAAGGCTTGTTTTGTTAGTGGCTGGAAATTTTACAGTATAGTTTTGCTAGGCTAGAGTAAAAATAGGTTGTGAGAGAACATTCAATATTGATTTAATCTTATACTTCTACAGGTAAATTCAGTTTTAATGTTGATTTCTGGCACTGAGCACTTTTGAAAGTTCCTTCCTGAAAGAATGAAATTAAATATTATACTGTTAATTTTCCCCACCAATGTATATAGATTAGTATCTGTAGAGCTGAAAAAGTCCATAATGGAAGCACACCTATAAAAACCTGAGCCTTTGCAGCATGCTAATGGCTTTCCATTAGGTCAGATTAATGTTTTCTGCTTGGTGAAAATAGGTATTTAGCAACAGTGCTTTCAGTTTGTTAGGAACAAGTAAGTGCTGGACCAATTGCTTCACACTTGGGAATAAATCCAGACTTTCAGTGCTTGCTATTAAATCACTTCTGCAGGATAATTCTTAACATCTGCAGATTCAGATCTGAGGATGTTGGTTGGCTCCAGCAGCAAAGGGATCCTCCTCCCGCGTTCTTGTTGCTGTGACCCGGAGAAGGGACTGGTTCTGACACTGCTCATGGTCCTGATGCCACATCTGATGCAGGGCACTGCACACTGTGATCAGGTTGACAAGCTGGATGTTCCACCATTCCTGTGTGTAGCAGCAGCCACATCAACCTGCCACACACAGGGAAGTCATGAGCTATGAACCGATGCCATCAAAGCACATCAGCAGTGAAGGATCTGCGAATTAATGTCATGTGGGGACCTGGTATCAGAGGATTGCTATGGCAGAACTGTTGGTGACATCAATAAAATAACAAGGATAAAGTCTTATGGGTTTTCCCTTTTTAAAAGGTATAGGAAATGAATTGAAGCCAGATTGTCTTATCTTGAAGAAAATACACACAGAAATGAAAATGCATATTTTTGTATGTTTGCACTTGTGTCTTTTTCACAGCAGGAGAGTTTTAAACAGTTATTGACAATTGACTGAACAGATTTCAGTTGCTAGAGAGGGGCTATGGAGAGGTTCCTCCCTTGGTGTATCTCTTCATCCCAGATTTTTTAATTCATTCTTCAAGTCATGTCAATATCCATATTGTTTGCAACCTACGTATTTTCTCCTTATAGATCTTCAAATAGCAAGAGACCCATTATCACATCTATTCCTCCTACAGACTTATTCTTCTCATATGAAAAATGTTACTTCGAACTTCTAGTAATAGCAGAGAGGTATATTTGCACTGTATTTTTCATGAAGAGGTTCTTAAAAATGCTTTATAATTTATATTAATGCAAATTTATATATGAGGATCTTGGATCTGGAGCTCCTCAGAGCTACGCTTCCTAATTGTTTGATATGTAACTAATGGACTCTCCCACCAGAAATAAATCATGAAGAGGTCTGGTTCCTGTATACCCAGCTGGAGGCCGGACCTGACTTTGTGTGTGTTAAACTCATGAATGTCCTCTGAATGCCCTCTGAATGTCAATCCATTCTGAAGGGTCAGAAGTAATGTATCCCAAAACAAACAAATTCAGAATTATTAGAGAGGTCTGAAAATGTTAAAATAAAATACGTAAAATGGGATGCAGATCCATTAGGTAGAGAGGGAAAATCTTTTTAATCATGCACAATAGTGCTAAAATAAAAATTAATACAATAGGTGTAAAATAATACTTTATTTTAGTGTGCAGGAGAAAGGAAGATTGAGGGCATTAAATACTTGAATAGAAATTTAACTGAATGTGGGTATATTCCTTCTCAGAAAACATTTGTGAAGACAGGTTATTGAAAAGAAGGCTATTGTGGTCTCTAGGGTTGCTGTAGTTGCCTGATAATATTTTGGCAAAAATTATATCTGATGAAAATCAGCTGATGGCAATTCAAGAGTGGGTTGAATTCAACAGCATCTCCCATCCCATGTAAAAGTAGCATCTCCATCACTTCTAACGTGTACGTAGGTGCCCCGCTGCTGTTTCAATTAGAGCATGATAGAAATTTCTTTATCTTTATGGATCTAAATTCACTAAATAAGAAATCATTCATGCCTGTCTAGAGCTAGTTCATTCCTGAATATTTATTACCTATAAAATTAGTTTCCTTGCTACCCTTCACCCCTTCAGGCAACATCTTCTGATGGGGGCTTGTTACAGGCAGGATGATGGAATTTGTTCTGCTATTGCTTGTGTTGTGATTTCTCTCTGATAAAAGACTTCGTTGGTGAGTAACAGCAAAGGAACTACAGCAGCATGAGATGTTCCTTATAGAAAAGATGGCATGGTAGACTCCTATCAGTCTATAATTTTTTTCTTAACTTGCAAAGATAAAATAGTTTATAATAAGTACATTATAATGTTAATGTAAGAAAATAAAGTGATAAGCTTTTTCAATACTGTAAGCCATTTTACGGTTAATATTGCATTATCTTCCATTTATTTTACATTAATTGTTGTGTTTTTTTCTTTAAGACCTGACTTTTCCTTACCTAACCTCATCCTTAGTGGGATAGTGATCTTCATATTTTTATCATTAATAGGAAAACCTATCAGAATGTTTCAGCATTACAGAAAAATGGGGAAGATGTTTCATCTCCCTCCCCCAAATGCTAAAAAACTCTCCACTTAGAAAAAGCTATTACATCCTATTTTTAATTTCAGAGTTATTTCTGACCCAAAAATACCCAGTGAGAACAAACAAATACTCACCACAGCCATGAGTTATCAGCAAGTTCATTGCAGTCATTGGAGCAGTGAGTTTAACTTGGGAAGACAAGCTGTGGGACTCAATTGTTCTTCAGTAAGGTGGAAGGAGGAATATTATAATGTGCAGTGAATTGGAGAAGACATATTGTGGCTTGTCCTGTGAGGGATGTCTGCCTCTGTGGCATAAAATCTTGCTCTGTATTCCAAAAAAAAAAGGCATTTAAAATATAGAATGACTGCACAGCAGGAATAGTAAAATTGTCTAAGCATGTGAATTTTAAGCACTAAACATGATACAGAAACAAAACTGTTTTTTTCTGACAGAAACTGGTGACTAACGCAGCTTTCTTCCTCAAAATTATTTGCTTCAGCTGGACATTAATCTCTTGGAGGAAATTTCTGAAAAAAATAAGTACTTCTCAGTAAATATTTATAAGAAAAGAAATGTTTTACTTAGCTAACACAATGGAATTGGCAGCCTTCAGAGGTGGCAAAGTCTCATTTGCAATAGAACTAGAGCAGCATAACAATTTTCTTTTTTTATGTATATAAATAAGTATATACATTTCCCATTACTGTGATAATAGCCTTATACTAAGCCAAATGTGGTTATAAATTATTCCTAGCATCTTGTTCGAGTAGTATGTCTAGGCAAGTATGTCCCTCCTCCCCATCTGTTTGACTGATATTTTTCTCTGAAATCCTAAAAAGTGAGAACAGTTAAGTTAAATAGTCACATAGCTCTAATTGAGAACCTGCGGGTAGCTCTGCGTGTCACTTCTTCCATCACAAATCATGTCAGCTATGGAGGAGATCCTTGAGTACAATTTATAATTCATAATGACTTATGTTTTCTTTTTAACTTGCATCCTTTTCCCTAACCTTCTCCTTTACTTCAGAGCTCTTAATGAGAAGGATGTTGCAACCATAAACAGTATTTTTCTCATAGACTATCTGGAGAAAGTTTTTTTGCTGGTGCTCTTGACTCAGTCCTGGTGCTTTGTTCTTTTTCTAGCTTGCACAGACAAAGAACTGAGGAATCTCGCTTCGCGACTAAAAGACTGGTTCGGTGCTCTTCACGAGGACGCAAATCGTGTCATCAAACCAACGAGCTCGGAGACGGCACAAGGCAGTAAGAAAACACCTTTCCCATTGAACACTGAGCATTGTAGGCAGCTTCCCATCCTACATCCTGAGAGAGCATTCAGCTGAGTACAGCTCTGGGTGCTACAGTGTCATGCCAAGCAGGTGCCAGCAAGTAAGCGGCTAAGCAGGAGACCTGATCCTGCAAATAAATAGCTGCACCATTTTCTAAAGGAGCTGCAGTTGTTCTGTACTCTGACTCAAACTGCTCTAAAAACTGGCAGGCAGAGACAGAGAGATCTTTACAAGTTAATCAGGCAAATAACAGTGTCTGAAGGCCATGGAGGTCATGTCTGTACTAGTAAATAAAACTGCTCAGGGACTTCTCTCAAGCCTTGAGGTTAACTGGCCTGACATAGGTAATGTCTGTACAGTTAAACTCCATGACCCTCCAAATCAGCGTGGCTGCATCCAAATCACTTCTTGGGGGTGGACCATGGTATATGCTTTACCCCCCAGTTCATGGCCAAGCATTTTCTGACCCAATGTCAGTGGTGTGAGCCAAAAACATGGCGTACAAGCATAAGGGAAATTACGCCAGTGTTGGACAGGACTCACTTTGATTTTATTTTGCAATCTCTTGGTAACACTTTATATAAGAGAAAGAACAATAAAAGCACCTGCATTGCAGCCACAGAGCTGGAATAGTTAAATGGTGTGGAAAGCTGGAATCTGTTGTGTCCCAGGTATTTAATAACAGCATCTTTGTTTCCTTTGATGTGTAGGGGGTTTTTTTTAAGAAAGGAAGAAAATGAACAGTTTAGAGGACATTTACTCTCTGTGGGTTTAGCCAACATGACTGATTTTGATGTCATTTACCCACCAGGGAGGGGAAAGATTCAGATAACAACATCAAAAGAGAGGTCATGTTCATCAGAGAGGAGATGCGAATTTATTTTCTGTAAGGACTCATTAATCCTTTGAAATAATATGTCCCAAAACATGTGGGCCCCTGGGTTGCAAAGCAGGATACACAAGTTTTATCTAGGTGTGTGACTCACCTTCACTTTCCTGCCCTGATTCTCTGGCACAAGCTGCGTACAGCCAGGGTGTGCTCACACAGAATTTAAAGGGTTCAGTCAACTGTTCCCTTTTACAGCTTTTTGACCCCGGTGCCTAGTTTCATAGAATTATAGAATTTTTTTGGTTGAAAAACACCTTTAAGATCATCGAGTCCAACTGTAAGCCTAACACTGCTAAGTCCACCTCTAAACCATGTCCTTCAGCACCATGTCTACACGTCTTTTAAATAACTCCAAGGAAGGTGTCTCAACCACTTCCCTGGGCAACTTATTCCAATGTTTGACAACCCTTTCAGTGAAGAAATTTTTCCTGTTAGCCAATCTAAACCTCCCCTGGCACAGCCTGAGGCCATTTCCTCTTGTCCATCTTCGTTTCCCTGTAGTGTGAGGCTGGAGAGGCTAAACGTGCAGTAGAGCTGACCCAGCACATCAGGATGAGCATTTACTGTTGGTCCGCATCTCCACAGCCACTCTGTGCTGCTTCTGAGCTTGTGTAGCACTAGATTGCCTCTTCCTAAAGAGACAGAATATACCACAGGTTATATTGTTCAAAACTGTAGTCAAACCTCATTAATGCCGAGTAATTGTATCTTAAAACTGTGTGGTGAAATAAGGCATGTTCTGTGTAAATGATCTTTTTCATGTGTCCCTTACTTTCAATAGTATTTACAACAGAGTCAGTATCTTTAAAACCATATATCCAACTTATTTCTTAAATGGTAATCCAAAACAGATGTTCTTACCGTGCAGAGGAGGCTGAACCATCGTGCAAAAAGACAACTGGATCTACAGCTAATCACAATCACAGCTTCAAGATGTGAATTCATTTCAGACCACATGACAGAAAACACCAGAGACTTAAAACTTGGTCTAAAGTCCTTTAGGTCCAAAACCACATGAAATCTCATTTTATCAGATTGCCAGAAGGATGTTTTTCATGCAGATGACCTGTGAACTGCTCATAAGGACCTTACCAAAGACCAAATTAATTCCTAAAAGTGTTGGGTTCTTTTATTTTCTTTTTTTTTTTCTGAAGCAATTTCTGTGAGAAAAACATTCCTGGTAATTCTGCAGTGTTTGCTCTGATTCACAGAGGAGCTGTTATCTCTTTTTAGTTTAGTTTGATTCCTGGCAGGTTTTATATGAAAGGCTGCCTTGATCATCTTAAACACTTGATTTCAACGTTCATTTTTAGACGACTTAGTTTGGAACGTTTTCTTATTTTTTTTTATATGTCAGTTAAAAAAAAAAAAAAGAAAGAAACTTTGTATGTTAAGATACTTAAATCATTTTTGAATGCCACAAAACTTGGACTTGTTCTTCTTTTCAAGAGTTTGCAACAGTATTCATGAATTAATCTGCATGTGCCAGGTTCTGCAGCTCCGGTTCTCTCTGGTAACACTGAAAATATGCACAGAGTAAGGATGGCAATATTTGGCTTCCTCCAACTTCAAACATTTGTAAAAATGAAAAACATCTTAAACGGGGCTCAAATTTCAAAGCAAAACTCACATACCCAAGCTGGAAATAAATAAATAAATAAATAAATAAAATTATGTGAATCCTGGCAAACAGGACACACGCAGCTCTGCACCCTGATGTACACAGTGCCCTTTTTTTTATTGCTCTGCATGTGTTACACTCCTCACCAGGCTGATCACTTCATTAAACTAAACTGGTTTGGTTATGCCTGTAAAGTCTTAAAAGGTATGCACATCCTCTAAGTAATCCATTTTGGGTATGTCCCCGTGGCAGTAAAAGGGAGCAGATGGTGGGATGCGATGAGTAAGATGCCCCGGACACATCAGCTGTCTAGAGAAGGTGCTCCAGCAGAGATTTCTCTATGCTACATTAAATTTTCAAGATGTTACTGTGAGTGTAAATAAGCTTTTTGAGTGTATTAAGTTCACCCCCAGGTGAAGAAAAAAAAGTACACTTTTGGTTTTTTTTTTTAACTCTCTTGAAAGGAAAGGATGAGGGCAAGTCATTGTGTTTGAAATCTCCAACCTTCATTCAATGAGCTGTCTACCAGATCCCAGCAAAGCACCCTAGGCCAGGAACTTTGTCTTCTGCAGGCTTTGAACAATTGAAATCTCCTCAATAAATAATATAAGCAACTCAGGGACATGTTTTGACATAAGGAAATAATAAAACTAATTAGGTAATAAGATCAGATTCAAATTGCTCCTGAGCCTGTTGATAATACATCACATTCCCATACTGTATTTAGATAGTCTCTGTGGTTGGAGTGGGAGCTGCTTTTCTTTTACTAGAGGTCTATGCAATATAAAGGATTTTTTCTGAGGAACATTTCTTCTTCTCTTTCCTTTATTTTAAGTGATGGAGGAAATTAGGTTAATTATTCCCCTGTTAATTTAATTGTAGTATACTTTAAGAAAATAAAACTGGCTTATGTAAGTCAACTTTTGAAGGGGGAAAATAATTTTATGTGCCAGAAGGTGTATTTATTTTTAATTAGGATTTTCACTTAAAGTCTTTTTTAAATTTAATTCCATTTTAATTCAGAGGAGGTGGAGTGTTTTAGGTATTAATGGGATATGAGACTTTCACATGTAGGTCACTGGTTTGATTCCCTTCCAGATCTGTAGTGAATGAAAGTTGTTAGGAGGCTGAACAGCTGTCAGCTGGAATGAGAAACATGATGGTCTCAATCCAGGTCCTTGTGAGCAGGTGTCCACACAAGAGCAACCACCACCACCACTGACATTAATTGGCATCTGTGTTGGCAGCCTCTGCCAAGGATCCAAGAGCAGAAAGGATATTGAGCTTGGACAGTTCTCTTGCTTCTCACCATAAGCACTGAGCTGATGCACAGAAAGATGTAGAAAAGTTCTCACTGAGGTTACTGTTATGCGGGGTCTGTTGTGCTAGAAGTCCAGCTTATTAACCAAGCATTTAATTCATTATAGTATTACAGTATGTGGTTTATTTCATCCAACATATTGCATCATATTTATAGGGAAGTATATCAAAAGACTTCAAAAAGGAGTTAATGTATTCAACTTCACTTGGCCTCACCAAGTTGATAGAAGCATAGTGACCTCCCAATGATGGTAGGTGAGTTCTGAGAACGAATTTCCATCATCTGCCCTGGCTGCACACTGAGTCAGAGCCTGCATTGCATCTCAAGGCACTTTTGCTTTCATTCCTGTTACTGGGTGCAAAGAGCATCCCAGGATTTCTGGTTTTGGACTGTAGATGCAATGTTTCAAAAGGTGATTTATGGGCAATAGCTTCTTTTAAAAGTAGATTTATGGGCAGGAGAACATATCAAGTGAAAGTCGATACTGCAATTCACCTTCAACCATATACTGAGGGGCAATTAAAGAATTGACTTTTTTATTCATAATAACAATCTAGCTAAGTTGCACCTACCACTGTAATACTTAAAGACTTCCAGACCACACTGTCTGTCTAATAATGCTGCAACTCTTAATAATACAGCCTCTTAACGAACCTAATCTGGAACTCTGGTCACAATAGTGAGAGCTCTCTTTTTTATTAGAAATTACAATCAAAAACTCTTCAACTCATGTAATTAACTGTCTTTGTAAGTGACCTTTCATGACTGTATCTTGTATCTAAGCCGTGATGGTGTGTCACAGAGCAGCTTTGTATTCACATCAGTGACCATCTTGTGATCTGCTCAGACAGCTCAGTACGGAGGGCACGCTGCTGTTGTATCCCTGAAAGCACGTTGTACACACAGATAAAGACTTCCCAGCAGGGAGGAAAACAAGACTCGGAAATAATCCACAGACACTGTCAGGGACAAGTTCATGCCAGGATCTTCTCCTCCCTGCCTTGATCCTTGCCAGTTAGAAGGTGACCTTTAGAGACCCACAGGGCTGAGCAACACACACCGTACTCAACTGGTTGTACAACAGACCTTGTAGTTACTCACTTTAGCAGCAGTAAGAGCCATGACAGGGTGTAAAGACCATCACCAGATAGGGCATCTGTGCAGAAAAAGAGCAGCCAAAGGAATGCAGCTGGTTTTCCCCTGGAAACCATTAAACTGGGATTGTTGAAGAATGTACCAATCCCTACTCCACCGTGCTATGGAATGATCCATCCCTGCCTGCCTGCCTGCCTACTTTTAAGCTCCCCCAGGGTGGGGAATCAGGCACAAGGCAGGACTGCATGCCCTGCTCCTCCGTACTTTGTAAAGGCAAAGTCAAGGATTGTTAAATCCTAGGATTGTTAAATCCTTTCACTCCACAAGAAATTGCACAGTGGCCAAATCCTGCATACCTTCCTCAGATGAATAAAATAATTGAATTCAATAGCCCTAATTACTTCAGCAAGGCAAGCAGGCTTCCTCCTTGCATCTATTCACATTCCTTTTCACTGTGCTCAAAACCCGATGAGATAACGTTAGAGGAGATAACGGCACAAAAACACGATGAAAGGTTCAGCGTGATCTCTCTCTTCCCTGCCTGAGCTGCCTCTAGCCCTGAGGAAATGGTGTTACCTTCTGCCTTTCTTAGAGAAACAGGTATTGTGCACGACATAAACCTTCCCATTAGTTAACCCTTCTGATTGTTCCTCCATGGCACTGACAACCTTCAGCACACAGAAAGCACAGCTTCCAGCACAAAGCACTGCTCTCCTTTGGATTAATACTTAAAATAGCAGATAGGCTGCAGAGCTTGGACAAACTGTCAGCGTGATTCCAGCAACATCTTAGGTTTCACTTTAACAAAGCAGCATCCTGAAATGGGACTTGACCTCTTTCAATGAAAGATGCAGCAAAAGGAAAAAGCTCATCAGGTTTCTTGACGTGGCCCTTAGCAGAATGAATAGTTCACAGGCAGGTTATCACACACAGCTGAAATCATGTGAGCGTGTGGTGCCCAGGATATGTGGTTCAGGTACCTTCTGTGCCTGTAAATCCCCAGCCAAAGTATCCATGTTTCTGGTGTTGAAATCAATATCCTTATTTTCAGATTTATTACCTCTACATTACAAATAGAATTTTTTTGCATTGTAGATAACTTGGAAATTAGTCCAAGTTTGTACCAAGCATTGAAAAATACAGTGACAGTATGGATTTATAATGCCCTGTCTTGTTTGTGAAAGAAAGCAATGCCACTGTTTTTGTGGAAACTGCAGAATGCTGGAACGTGCATCTCGTATACATTGCAGATATCTATATGTATGACTTGGTCTTTCTGTGATACCACTGCTGCAGCTACAGTCTTTTAAGGATTTGGGCTATTAAAATGAAAGATGATGATGGTTTCCAAAGTGCTGGAGAGCTGAATCCTGCTTTGTTGCACAATCCTGGAGGCCACAAAAAAGGAATAGTGCTGGGATGGCGTACAAGAGCACGTGCAGTTCTCTGGAGCTCCCTGTTGAAGAAGTGCCATTCTTCAGGGTAGCACAAGCAAAAGAGACCCTTTGTCCCTCCTCTCACCTGCCTCCCCCAGGCAGCTCACCAGCCAGGTCAAAGCATTTTGTTGTCCACCATGGGAGGCAGGGCTTTGAAGAGTGCAAAGCTGGGGTGAGAGGTGGAAGGTGAGAGCACAGTAGGAAATAATTTGATCAGGGAACTAGAAACATGTCTGAGAAATAGGATTTAAATTGCGTTCAGACTCAGTGTAGTTTGAAAATACAGTGGATGCAGCCTTTGCTCATCACACTTCAGTTTCTTGGAACTCAGGCCAGCCCACTCAGACTGAAAAACAAAAAAAAATGATTCCTGTGCAGTGAGTGTGCTGGGGTTCAGGTGGGGATATTTGCCTATCTTCTTACAGGATTTGACACCAGCATACTACCAATCTGTAAGGATTCCTTAGGCTGGATGTTCAACAAACTTGACATGAACTATGACCTGCTGCTGGATCCCTCGGAGATCAGTGCCATTTATCTGGATAAGTACGAGCCATGCGTCAAGCCTCTCTTCAACTCTTGTGACTCCTTCAAAGACGGGAAGCTTTCCAACAACGAGTGGTGCTACTGCTTCCAGAAGCCAGGAGGTGAGTTGTGCAATTTGCAGTACAAAGAGAAATTTTTTTGGGTCTCCCTGTCTTTCAGGTTTGACTGATCTGCTTATAGAGATAGTTTGGTAATTGGCAGTCAGCTGCACTAAAAAGCTCTTTTCTCCAGTACTGGTGTGAACGGGTATTGTGTAATAATGTTCATGTCATAGTTGGACTGTGTTAATATCCCTTAACAAACAAAGAGGTAATAAGTGACAGTGCACACAGTCTAGAAATAAGCTCTATTGCTGATAGAAAGCTCAAGAACTTACTCTTTTATTAATGCAGAAATTAGTCAATTAGCAAATCATAAATTAGAGAGCTGGCATTATATCAGTTTGGTGAAAAGAGAGGAAAAATGGTTTAACAATGAAAATGGCCCTCAAACACTAGTCTCAACTATGATGTGTTGCTTTTTTTTTTTATATAATTAGTGGCACTGATGACATAACTTTGTTTTGCAGTACAGTACCAGCATATGGGCTTCTTTCATTCCCAGGTGTACAGTTGTCTACATTTCATGTCAGTAGTGAAGCCAGTCAGTGCAGAGTCTGTCCCGTACCATCTGGAAACTGATTCTCCTACATTATATTTTAGGTCTTCCTTGCCAGAATGAAATGAATAGAATTCAAAAGCTAAGTAGAGGGAAGAGTCTGTTGGGTAAGTTCGATTACTTGCTATTCATTTACTCAACTAATTAAAGCTTCTGTGATTATTGTAACTTTATATGCAGTAATGGTTTTTCAATTAGAGACTAATGTTTTGAGTCGGGAATATGCACCACGGAGTGTAGGCCCAACACTATGAAATTAAACAAATAATGAGATAGCAACATTCAGAACAGGTGTCAGCATGGCAACGGGATCAGAACTAATTCACAGCTCTCCAGAAATGCAAAGCCTTGTCTACCTAGAGCTTAATATTGCCTTCATCACCTCCTAGGTCAGAATAAGTACAAAGGCTGCTTGATACTCCCATCTCCCATTTTTGAAGGGTGACTGAAGGTGCCACAGTGCATAGCCAATGAGTTCATGTCTTTTTCCAGTGATGGTGCAATGCATGTACTTCTTGGGGTTCCATTTTGCCTAATCACCCTTAAAAATATTTCAGTATATTCTGAGTATATGAAAACAGTAATTTGTATCATCTCGTTTCAGGCAGCCCTGCAGGATGCTCCATGCTGTAAGGTGTGATAATGCCTGTCCCTCTCTTTAGTGACTATTGGGAGCCTGAATTGTGTCATAACTTACTCTGCTTTGATGAATATCTAAAATTAGGTTAAATAAATCCCCATATGGCATTTTCCTATTTAATTGCTAAAAACTGAGATTGTTGAACTGAGTAAATTTAAGGTAACTTATTCTGTACCCTCAAGTCACACAGCTTTATGTAGTCTAGTGTTTATGTGGTGGTATCTTAGCGAAACTTCTGTCCTAGTACCTTCATGTACATACACGGAAATCATGCAGGCATATCAGTATAGATTAAAGTTTCTGTTTACAGAAAGTTCTGCATTTCACCCTGGGAGAGTCTGAATAACGTCAAACACAGACTGCCAGGTTCATCACTGGGAACCCATGTCAGGTTCTTACAGCATCCCTGGATGCAGCACAGAGGATGCACATCAGCTCTGCTGAAATGCTTCTCAGATTGCATTCTGCTTCTCAGGTTGCTCTCAGAGTTTAGTCTGATGTTTCTAAATACTCATTAGCAGAGTCTGCAAACAGAGCTTCTACAAAGCTGATCTTTGCCAAACCCTGCCATCCCCAAATGCCACTGCCATTTGTACTCAAGGTTCAGGTACCTTATGAACAATCCCAACCTGGATTCATTGGTTTAAAATAAGAATACACATTCCTAAAGGCCACAGGGACTATGGTTTAGTTCCATCATTCTTTCATAGCAAGTTCCCATAAAGATTAACATGTTTCAGAGTTATGGCTCCTGCTGTTCATAGCTGTGGGTTCAAAGGGAACATTGGTCGCTCTGTTGTATGTGTGCAATATATATTCAGTCAATATATTGAACACAAATATTTTGTGGCAGAGAAGGTCACGGTGTTCTCTGTCACATGGTTGTCATGATTTTCAAAGACACCTAAAAGAATAAGAAGCCCAGTTCCTAATAGATAGCTTTGTCTATCTCATATTTATTTTATGCTTTGCTGCTATTTTCTATATGCAGTAAATGTCATCTAGGTTGAAACATAAGTGGTTTGCTCTGGTATGCAGGGGAAAATGGTGGCTATATTGGAGGTAGTACAACATGCAGGCAGTTGTAGCATGTCATTGGCATCTGATCACAATAGCAGGATTAAAATTACAAAGTAAAAGCAATAAGAATGGTCCCTTACCACAAATAAGTTTGAGTCAGCTGTATTAAAAAAAAAAAAAATGAAGGATGAATGTGGCTAAGCTCAGCAAATCAAGAAGTGTCAGGCATAGGTTGTTCCACAAGCTAGAAAATTATAATATAGAGAGGAACTCTTTGCTTCACCTACCTTGAAAGTCTGCCAGCATGATAGTACCTGTCTGGGAGATTTTAATCTGATCTCATAGCTATTTATACAGTGGAAAACATGGCTTTTCTCTTCACTGCCTGAAAAATCATGGAAATGGAAACAAAAACATTCACGTGACAAAAAGCACACTTGTAGCAACAATAAAGATTAAAAAGAGAGATGAATATTTTCAGATAAACTGAAATTTTAATTGTTTTCTTTCCTTCTCTGTCCCTGACTCACAGAGCACAGCATTTACAGTCTGGACAGTAGGCATGAAGAAGATTTCTGTTAACTTGTATCCATTGATAAAAAATGATGACTTCTGATATTTTGTTTTCTATATATTTTTCCAAACACATGTCAGTTGCAACAAAGTACTTCAAAGCTGTTGCCATTAGATATGTTGAATTTGGAGGCTTTCAAATAGAGTCTAGCATCCCAGGGGACTGAATTAAAAAGTAAACAGCACTATTCATCTTTTCCTACCAGATTTATCTAGAGTACAATTAACTGCAGAGAGGGTACTTTTAGAGCATAGAACTGCACAGTCTGATAATGCTTCTCCCACATCACTAAGGTAATAAATTTCTGCTCCCATCACTATTTTCTTCTGTATCAGCCCTGTAAATTCAGCTAACATAATAGCTAATACAGGGAGCTGTGTGCTGGCTAGCACTGTCAGGCTTTTACCTGTGTGCTTCACTATCTTTAGCATATAATTATTCTCTTCATGTCCTCTGAGGAAGAGGAATATTATATAGATAAGGAAATGATGAAAAAAAAAAAAAAGAAAAAAAAAAAAGAAAAAAGGATATGTAGGTCTGGATCCATAAAAAAGGACATAGATGCAACAGTGCTGTTCAAGTGTGCGTGGAATAATTACATACTTCATGGGACAAAGAGAGACGGGGAAGCAGGATTCACTAGCCTGAGGCAGTTGAGTGGGGAGTGACTAACATTTGTAGTGTTTAATAATGAAGCTGGTCCACCAGCGGTCCCCTCTCCACACTTGTGATTCCCCACTGCCTGTGCAAGAACCTCTGGAGAGGAAATGTGAATTCCTTTCTCCTTCCAAACCTTGAGGATGTCCTTTGACACCAAACCAAATTATGGGGTGAAGCGTTGCCACTAATTGGGCTGTCTGGATGCTGTTCTCCAGAATAGCAGAGCTTGTAGCCAGAGCTTATTTCTAAAGAACAAAGGGGCTGATTTGTGTAGGAATTACAGGATGAATCATCACACTGTATAACAATTGCTTCCCAGTGACTCTTTGTCCTCACCAAATTATCACCTGCACCTGACACATGCTGGAATCTTCCCTCTGATGACTGGCAAATACTGTAACATTAGTATGAGTAGCTAAATACTCAAAGCTCCAGTGTGATACACAAATTGGCACAAATCTTCCATGCAGGAGGAAAAGTACCTTCTATTCTTCACTGTGACCCAAAGTGTGAATCCTTTCCACACACAGTTATGTTGGCAGTGAGCCTGGGCCATAATTTATTTTTAAATCTATGTTTTTTTACAGGCAGTGTGGAACATTTTAATACTTTACAAGAAACACAGTGAAACAATACAAAAAGGGCTGTTTCAAAGAAAGGAAAGGTTGCATTGCCCAAGGAAAAGAGAAACCATGAGACAGTTTAAAATGCAGAGGCTGTTCTCTACTCACCCTGTAATGCCACTGAGATTCCCACATTGATTCTTCCCTGGAGCCAGATGTTCATCTGATATACCAGGGGAGCTCCAGTGGCATGGGTACAGCTATGCTGATTTATACCAGCCTAAAATCAGCACCTGAGTGCTTTTCTCAAGGTTGTGTATAGTCTGATAAACACCTGGAGTGCTTAACAGAGAGAGGACATGAGCATAAAAATGAAAAAAAACCAACAAACCAACCAACCAAAAACCTTTCTCAATCAATATTGAAATAAAAGATTGAACAGTGAGCATTAACTTACAAAAACCTGCAAAGGTGAATACATATACATGGTTATTGGAACATTTTTTTTTAATAAATAGTGAAAAATGAACGAGTATGCTTATATTTGTATATGAATGTGATGGTGGTACCTATAAGCGAACCTTATACTATGAGATCAGGCTTTGAAGTTATTTAAAATACTCTCACTAATAGATGTGAAGTGGTCTCCAAAACTGATCTGATACATAAAGATTTCTGCAGATGTTCAAAGGTTTCTGTTCTCACCTTCCAGCCCTACATTAGCGACAGAAGAACTGCAGTGTGATGAGTTTGGAAATTCAAGGAGTCACTTTATAGAGATGCGCGTGTGTGTGTGTGTGTGTGTGTGTGTGTGATTGACTGACTGACTTCCACTTTTATGTCTTTTACATAGGAAATTTCATGACATTTGGGCTGTACCTTCTCATTTATTTTTTCCATGGAAATGTAGTGGAAGTATCCCCCTTTGACAAAGGAACTGTCTGAAGAGATGCTATGCACATCAAACTAGTTAAAAAACTTACTGCGTGACCAGTAAATCACTGGTATCTTTGACAAAGGAGAAAAAATACTTTCTCAGAAATCACGAGACAAGAAATTTGGGGGCAAGGGTGGGTTTCTGTCATGTTTCAAATTGAAGCAATTGGCAAAGAAGGAAAAATAACTGTACTGACCTCCCCTGGGAATAAAGCTAACTCATCTCGAAGGACAAGAGGGCTTTTCATATTGAAGTACATTTGCTGTATCTGCTGAAAATAGCGGGAACAATGAAATGAGTTTCTCCCCAGAGCTTCTCTGTCTGCAGAAGCCATAACAAGCCTCTACAAGGCTGAACTGTATGTTTTATTGTGAGGCAAATCTTGGGCTTCAAATCCAAAGACTTACTGATTTGAAATCCTGTTGTCCCTCTCTGTAAAGCTTATGCACTGCTTCTCCTTTTATACATGGGAACTTGCAGTAAGTAGGACGTTGTGCTTGAGATTAGTATGAACAGCAAACAGATGGCAGATACCTTCCAGGGATAATTACAGTGTTGTGGAAAGACTCATATGATAAACACTGAAGGAGTGCAAATGGAAAGGAAATGCGGAATTAATGAAGTTGGGGGGTAATAATCCAGTTGGGAAGAAAAGTTTAAAACCAGGAGTTAAATCTGAAAGGGGCTCTGTGGGAACATTAATCATTCTGGGACAGACTGAATGTATCTCTAGTACCGTATGCCATCACCCTCCATGTGCTATATATGCACAAACATTTATGCACTGTGCAGTGACCAGGGTGGCTGAAAATAGTTAATCATATATAATTTCTTCTCCCTTTTAGGTACCAGATAATCATATGTATTTTCTTGCCAACGTTGTAAAGATCTTCATGTAAAAAAGTGACGGGTTCATAATACTTTATATACCTCCTTGTTCCTACAGAGGCTTGCATTCCTGATTGTACCTTATATTTTATTCAGGTGCTTTCATCCCACGGTGCAATGAAGAAGGTTATTACAAAGCCACGCAGTGCCATGGCAGCACAGGGCAGTGCTGGTGTGTTGATAAGTATGGGAATGAGATAGCTGGCTCCAGAAAGCAAGGGACAGTTAGTTGTGGTGAGTAATGATGTGTTTTCCTCAAACAACAAAGGAATTAACGCTGTTGTAAGCCCTGCCATTGCTGTACGATGGAGTACGATAACAAAAGTGACAACAGGGAAACATGACTACAAGTGGTCAAAGTGCTCCTGTGTTTTCATGTTCAAACTACAAATGAGTCTCTTATGCACCTATTGGTCCTTTGGACTGGGGGGTGCAGCAGAATTAACAGGCAGTAACCACTGGTAAGAAGATAGTTTTACTATCAGCATAAAAAAAATGTAATAATGGATGTTAAAATTAAGGCTATGGGATTGTTATGCATGGTTATTAAATGTATTGTTCTGTATACTCTGCAACACACGTTTCCTAGGACTTGACTTGATGAATAATGTATTTCCAGACAAAGGAAGGCCTAAATGTGTAAAATTTTATAAATTAACAACCAAGCCAAATAACATTGCTGACAGGACAATATTCTGTAGATATGTAAAATCACCAATTAGCTGTTATACCTAGGCAAGCAAGATTTCAGCTGTATTCCTTCAGATGGTTGTGGCTACAACTTTCTTCTTCAAGAAGGAACAGAAAAAGCAGAGACCTAGAAGGTCTGAGATGCCCCAAATCACATCACAGATGTTCGGCTCAGTAGCTGCGTTTGCAGAGTGTGGTTTATGCACTCAAATAAACTCAATCTGTGGAATATTTTTAAACTGGTTTACAGAGTTATGATGAGATGAAAGTATTTACAAATGAGTAATGATTTTCTGGCCCTCATGCATGTCAACTGAGACTCTCCACTCGAGTCTCTAGGAGGAGGGCGATGCATGGCTTTTTATGCAAGTAAATTTTTCGGAGTAAATTGATATATATTTATCCCAGTTCAGGATGAAAATTGAAATTTAGAGGGTTTTTACATGAATAACTGAACCAATGAATTTTAAAAGTAACACTGCAAGTGATGGTGGCTTAAATGACAAAGGTAGTGATGAACGAGAGATTTGGTGTCATGTGAGGGAATGACCTTTCCTGCTCACTTGTTTCAGAAGAAGAGCAAGAAACCTCAGGGGATTTTGGCAGTGGTGGATCTGTTGTATTGATGGATGATTTGGAAGAGGAACCTGAAGCAGCAAAGAAAGACAAAGAAGGGAAACTGAAGATTCATGTAAGAGCAGCTAATGAAGATGATGAAGATGAAGATGATGATAAGGATGATGAAATTGGTTATATATGGTAGTGCCCATCATAATGAGGACTCATGTTTTGCACAATATTGCAAGTCACATCATATCTCTGCAATTGTATCTGAGAGTACCTGGCACAAATATTCCCTCTCTACTAAGTTTAATTTTGTATAGTCTATTTAATTTGGAAGACAACTTTTTTTTCCAGCAAGGACTGTTTGGAATACTGCTTCTGTTCAGTTGGTTGGGGGATTTTTCTTTTATTCCCCAGAGTCAATTAGTTTTGTTTCAAAAACATTTAATGTTTTACTCCTCACTTGCACATCTTACAAAATATATCTTGTGAAAGAAGAAACACGATGGGGCTCAACAAACTAAGAAGCCCTTCTCACATTAGAGAATTTGTGTCATTAATTGTTAACTGGATCATTTTAGAAACATTTCTTTTTCTTTCTGAAGAAGGAAAAGTAGGTACCTCATTTTCTAGTCCATTTTCGTTACATTCCAGTAAAGAGTAATTCTCTTTGGATAGTGACTTCTGGCTGCCCAGCACCAGGGGTTTCATCCAGAAAGAAACCCACTGATGGGATTTTCTCTTCCTTCCATTCTCTGAGAATGAGTCCAACAGGCTTAGTTCAGCCCATGCTGAAGGCAAAGCTCCCACTAGCACATATCTCAGCTCAATGACATTATTTATTATTTGGTTAAGGGACATGATCTTGATCTTCGGAGATGCTGAGAACCTCCAGCTATCATGCACCAAGCCCTACAGGCAGGGAACAGAGTCCATCTGCCTTTCAAAGTGTTTAAGGAAAGTGTGTTTTGTGAATTTGTAGCATCATAACCACCACCACGGCTGTTCCTCAGCTTCTGTCTGAACTCATTTGCAATAAGAGTTGCACTAACGTCACATGGGCAGCCTCTGCTTCCTGCTCCCACACTATGGATCTGCCTGTTCGTCATTTATTCTTACCAATCTCTCATCCCAAAGTTGTAAAGCTGTCAAAGACTCTAACCATCAAAAATAATAAGCTGTCATGTCTTTAATTTAAATAGTTAATATTTATTTGCCCTTTTTTTTAAAAAAAACCAAGCAGCTTTAGGTGGTCATGTTTCAAAAGCAGAACCCCCTTTGCGCAGTGTGACAAGCTGCACACTCATAATACACACACGTAAAAGAGAATGGTATTAAAATTCAATCTGTGATTCCCTCAGCAGCTCCCATATATTCATTGCTCTGCAATTGTATCACAGCATATTGACATTAAATTATTTGCTGTGTCCTTTGCTGTTGCAGTTCTCTGATGCAGGAATGTACTGTGATGACCTTTTCTTATTTTTTTGCTGTTTTTCAGAAATAGTAAGAGGTACCTTAACCCCACTCTTGCATTAGGATGCAGATAGAAGTATTTTAGCAATGCCTGTGATTTATTTTGCAGAAAAAAAAATTGTGCTTATGACACAGAAAACTAATTAGATAGTTGGTTTGTTTTGTTTTTCCTCTGCGTTGCTGTTGGATGTAGAAGTGGAGACAGTATGGAGTCAAAAAATATGGCTGGTTACATTTGCACTCAAAAGCAGGAAAACACTGTGCTGGTTAGCAGAAGTCAATTTTTTAGGGATACTGGCCCAAAGGCTGTGGTTCTCAGCCCTCTCCAAAGTCAATGCCAACTGCAGAGCCTGGCACAGCTCTACAACCCCTCTCCTCCTGCGTAGGACCTCTGCTTTCAGGCATGATCAGAAGAGCAGTACAGAAGAGAAGCTCCTTTCAGACACCATGCATTGCAGGGCTCAATTGTTTTCTCCTCTTTCATTTCCTATTTATCTAGATCAATGACCTGAGAACAAAGAGCAAGCCTGTGTAATTGTTATTAATGCAGAAGGATGCATGGAATTGTGAGGAATTTGTTGTGTGTTGTTTCATGCCCCTGCATCCTCCCAAAAATCTGCTATCACAGTCATTTGCAAAAGACCTGCAATTCACCCTGCCCCAAAAAACCCCCTTGGTTTTCCTATAGCTTTTGAAAAATTATTAATTTATTTTAAAATCACTGTTCATGAGCTGCACAGCCTCCCCAACCCCCCCTACCCACATACATGTTTTTCCTACTTGCCTTTCATAGAAAATGATGCTGACCTGGGAGAGGAACAGATGCAGCCAGCATTTCTTTTCCCTAAATTGTATGATTTTGTGGAAGCAATTGAACACCATCAGTAGCTTGCTTCTCAAACATTGTGGCTGGTTTCCTTCTGGGATTTTATTTATTAAACCCATACTCTCTGGGTCTAGCTCTGCTGTCCTGTGCAGGACCTGCCTGAGGCACAGAGTTGCTGTTTCACTCTGACATAAAACTGAGGTCCACAATCAGTGGAGTTACACTTACCCCTCTGGACTCATTCTCCACACACAACTAGTGTTTTTTTAATCCAGTCCTGCATCTCTTTGCAACATTTTCTCCTGGAACTATGCATGACTTCAAAAGCCACATAGTAAATCCCTTCTCCTGCCCAGCACATCACTTGGGTTAAAGCCTGTCTCACCAAGCCCTTGCAGGGAGCTCCAGGGTCCAAGGTTGCAGCCCTTCTGCACCACGTACAAGCATGAAAGATGGTTAAATAAAAGCTGTTAAATAAGTCTTTTAAAAGTGAATGTGGCCATCCTTCAGCTTGCACGAGCAGGCATGCCACCACCATCCATTTCTCAACACCATGGATCCTCTCCTAGCTGTAATTTCTCACCTGCAGCTATTCCATATCAGGACCTGGCAGGTTCTGTAGATTAAACTAGAAAACAATTACCAGCATCTCAGACTCATCAACTCCAACATGCTGTGGGTACCAGGCGAACTGCTCTGTGCCCAGCACAGCCAGGCAAGAGGACAGATGCCTTGGCTAATTCACCTGACCTCTGGTAGAATATTTTCCTTTGCACAGAAACACACACAAATAAATATATATATCTATATACACACACACACACACACACACACACACTCCCACCCACCCTTATAAACCCACTAGCCTGGATTCAGGAAGACCCCTTGATCATTCCATCAATTGCTTCAGTTGTTCCAACGTTCTCCTGAACCAGGGCGAGTGTTGGAAAAATTTTATTGCCCGGTTCAGTTGGGTACAACTAAAAGAGTGTTTAAAGAGAGCAGTGTAAGATCAGGAGGTGTGACAGCCCAGCCAGGAGCAGGGCAGGCAGGCTGGCACGCCTGGAAGGGCAGCTTGGACTGTGGATTGATTTAAGAACACGTTTTCCACCTTACAAAGCTATTTAGCAAAACCCTTTTGTGAGCCACTGGCATCCTCCAGTGCTTGGGGGATCTGCAGCCTATATATACAGATGTATGTACATGTGGGGGTCTGTATATATACATTTTAACACATATATATGTGTGTGTGTGTGTGTCTAATTTAGCAAGACAAATTCAGAAAAGGTTTTATTTCTTTAAAAGAAACCAGCAATTCTACCAAGAACCAGTGCTCTTCCAGATCAAGACCTTTCCATTTCATGCTTTTTAAAGGATTTAATTTGCTTCCAGCTTAATTTAATTCCTCTCTTTTTCTTTTCTTTTCTTTTCTTTTTTTTTTTTTTTTAAAGCAGGACTACCTAACTGCATCAAGTCATTGACCTTCCAAATATTTAAATATTGTCTCATTATTAAAAATGGAATCAGAGTTGTCCCATTCTTTTAGAGGCACAAACCAATTTTTAATCTCATTTTCTTTTCATATTAGAGACTATGAAATACTGTTAGGCATTGCTTTATGTTTCAAGGTGTCCTTTTAACTACTGTGGTTAAATCAAAATCTCTTTGAGTTCAGATTTCAGCACAGTTGGGTTTTTTGGGTTATTACTGGCCTTTGCTGTGAACACAAAGAATCATTTTCTTTGCCTTTTTTTAAGCTATTCTGTACTATTATTTTAAACCATTTGAAGTGTTTATTTAATATTTATTCTACAGTTTATATTGAAAAATGTAAAGTTTATATTTAAAACAACACTGTTTGTTAGTGAATGCTTCTCTTTGCCTCTCCAGCCTAGTCTGTTAGTCTCAGTGTACATTTCTGGCATGGGAATATTTTGATATTAGAAGTTTTGTAGCATTTTTTCCCCTTCAGGCAGCAAATGACGTAGATCTAAGGTCACCACTCGATACAGACCTCCAGATCGCTCAAGCTTAGCTTCTTACATTTGTTGGCTTTTATTGCAGTCCCTTCTGTATGCCATTCCAGTTCCTTTAATACATAGACTGCTTTGTACAGTTACTATACATCAAAAAAGCCCTTTCTACAGTAGGTGGGTTTTGGTCTTTTTATACTTTTCTCAATGCTGTTGATGTCCGTTACTGTTAAATGCGTAGATCTGTAAGGAGAGATCCAAATATTACGTGTTTCAGTTTGATGTCCCTACTGTAGATGGATGTAGACTATCATAGTAAGTAGAATTACATAGTAAATTCTGAATGCTTTTTCCATAAGGACTTAAGTGGAATGTGAGCATTTTGCTATCTTTGGTTAACTGTAAATGCTTAACTGTAGTCTGAAATAGTTGCATTTTTGTCTGTCTCAATAAATTTTAATTTGTCTGCGATTCCTTATTGCCTGTCCTGAATTTTATTAAACTTTGGGGATCAAAAGTACTGCAGTACCTTGAGTCAGCATTTAATCATGCATGGAAATGGATGATCTTTTCTATTTGGTTTATACCTTATATCTCTGTTCAATGTCAGCTGTAATCTGTGAAGTTAATGTGAGATCTCTAGAAAGCTATATTTTAAAAGCAGAAATGAAACCAAACTCAAAGTAATAACTGTACCAAAATCAGAACTTTTCAAATTACATTAAAATTGATTTTTGAGGAACTAGCAGGGGTGGAGGCGGAAGCTTTCATTTTTATTTCCTCCCCAGTTTGCAAATCGTGCTGTTTTTTCTGTCTCTTCTGAAGGTATCCATGGCAATGCTATAAAAACAGCCACATTCTACAGTGGCCATTATCTACAATATAAATGAAGATAAAATTATATTGAATACAATTGGTAGGAAGCCATCCTTACTTAGAAATACCTGGGTTTGTGTCTCTTATTAAATTAGAGTTCCCCTTTAATATTATTAACCAATTTAAACAGACAACATTATTATAGTGCTAATTACAGAGTTAAAAATGTTATTTCATCATCTTTCCTCTGGATGTGCAAAATTAAAGTACCTCAGGAACACATGTAACCTATTTTCAAACATTTGTGCAATTATCATCTCATCGAGTAGTACATTTAAAACTTACCTGTCCATACACCATTGGTTGTGTCATCTAAGGTCAGAACCTGCCTTAAAT